AACTCAAGATAGATGAACAGAGAGCTGTGATTCCACTTATATGGGGTTTTCAGAATAATCAAATTGTTTTATTTATTTTTATGTATTTAGGACAGGGTCCACAGGGTCTCACTATGTAGATCAGATTCGTACTGATTCTCCTGCTTTCAGCCTCCCAAGTGCTGGGATTATAGGCGCACGCCACCACAACCAATCTCAACTGCCATCTCAATGTGCCCTGGGGCTGGCATGGCAGGCCAGGGACTAAACCCTAACCATTGTGCTCTGCCTAAGCAGGCGCTTTAGTCCGCAGAGCTATCTGGCTAGCCTTTTAGAATTGAAAGAGAAAGTAGTAGAAGAGTGATTGTCAGGGGCATGAAGGGGATAAAAAATTATTTTTAATGGACACAGATTTTAGCTTTATAAACTGAAAAGACTTATGAGGATGAATGCTAGTAATGGTCACATAACAAAAATATATTTAATGCCACTGAACATTTATAAATGGTTATGGCACTGAGGGTTGGTAGCTCAGAGGTAGAACACATGCTTAGCATGCACATAGCCCTGAGCATGAGTTTCATTTGTGCATGCATGTGCATACACACGCACTTAAACAATGGTTAAGACTGTGGATTTTGTGTTGTTGGTATTTTCCCAATTTTAATTAATAGATTAAGGAAGATATACTATGCTAATACTAATCAAAAGAAAGCAGAAGTAGTTAATATTTGTTTCAGAAAGAACACACTTAAAAAAGCAAGGGAAGCTACTTAATAATCATACAGTGCTAAATGGGGTCAATTGTCCAAGAAAACTTAACAATGCTTAACAGGGATATATATAACAATAGCATATCAAAACACACCAGATCAGAATTGGTACAGACACTGAAAGACAGTTCGGTACTTTCTTAGAAAATAAAATTAACTTTTAACACATGACACAGCTATCACAGTCCTTGCTATTTACCCAAAGGAACTGAGATTCTATGCCTACATAAAAACCTAAAAACTGAAGCTTATAACAGATTTATTCATAGTTGCCAAAACTTAGAAACAACCAATATGCCCTTTAGCAGGTAAATGGGTAAACTATGGTTTACCAGACAATGGAATGATACAGCACTGAAAAGAAATGAGCCACAAAAAAAACATAGAAGAACCTTAAATGTCCATTACTAAATTAAAGACGCCAATCTAGAAGGCTACCCTATTATATGACTCCAACTCTATGATGGAAAGCACAAAACAATGGGAGTAGTTATCATTATGGTGTACAGTGGTACAGGGTGACAGCTGCCACAGGGTGACAGTTGCCATAGTGGTTGCCAGTACTGGAAACAAAGAGATGGAACATTTTTTGGCAGGTAAGTTACTCTATGTAATACATAACATGGATACCTGGCATTGTACAGCTGCTGAAATGTACCACACAAAAATGAATTCTGTTGAAATGAACTCTATTGTAAGCTATGTACTTCAGTTAAAATGACTATATAGGTACATCAATTGTAACAAATGTATCTCTCTAGTGAGTTGGGGTTTTTTTTTTATTTAGGACAGGGTCTACAGGGTCTCATTAAGTAGATGGCACTCGTAGTGATTCTCCTGTTCTTAGCCTCCCAAGTGCTGGGATTACAGGTGCACCCCACCACACCCCGTCTCAATCGCCATCTAGTGAGTATGTTATAATGCAAGAGGTTATGCAAGTGTAGGAATAGAAAAGTAGCAGAACTCCATCCATGTACTTTATGTTCAATTTAGTTTTGATGGTAAAACTGCTCTAAAAGATAAACATGGTCAATACTATTAACTACCAAGGAAATAAAAATTAAAACTCCAGTAAGAGCTACTAGCTACCATTTAGAATGGCTAAAATTGGGGGTAGGCCAAATAGCTTAGCGCCTGCAAACAGGCACAGGGGTCAGGGATTCAATCCCCAGGCCTGCCGCGTTCCTGTAATCCCAGCTCTTGGGAGGCTGTAAACAGGCGGATCACTATGAGTACAGTCTAGTAAGTAAGAATACCCTGAATACCCTGTAGACCCTTCCCTAAAATGAAAAAAAAATTTTTAAAAAATGGCTAAAATTAAAGACACAGGGCTGGGGAGATAGCTCAGTAGAATTAAATGCTTTTTTGGCAAGAGCAAGGGCCTGAGTTCAATCCCTGATTCTGCCAAAAAATATATAAATAAGTTAAATTAAATTAAAGACACAAGTGCTGATGAGGAAGTAGACCAACTAGCACTTTGATACTCTATAGCAGTGATGGCAAAAATTTAGAGATTTCAATAACAACCTACTGAGGCACATATTACATACATTTGCCACCACAGCCCTACAGATGAGATTACATAATGTGAAGCTACTGTAAGAAGCATTTCTTAGAGCTAAACATGATACCCAGGGGCCGGGGAGATGGCTCAGTAGAATAAGCGCTTCCCTGGCAAGCACAAGGACCTTAGTTTAATCCCCAGTTCTGCAAAACAAACAAAAAAACAGAACAATAACACGATGCCCAGACATCCACATATTTTACTTCAAAGTACTTAACAAAATAAATAAAAAGTATGTCTACATAAAATCTTACTTATAATTTTCAACAGTAGATTCTTTAAAAAGCCACTTAACATTGAAAACAACACAAATATCAATGGGTTAGTACAAAAATTGTGGTACATCCATTTCATGAAATACTACTAAGCAACAAAAAAAGAATTGCCTACTAAGAGACTTTGCAACACGAACAGATCTCAAAACTAGCAGCCTATGTAAGTCAGACAAAAAATCAAACAGTCAAATTTCATTTACATAAAATTATAGAAAATACAAACTACTCTACAGTGGTAGAAACATTAGCAGTTGTTTAGGGAAAGGAGGGCACTATGAAATGAGTTAGAAATAGATAAAAGAAAGCAACTGAAATGATGGCTCAAGTTTGAAAAGTAGAATAATAAAGAGATGTGAGAATGCGTATGGACAGAGGTGAGGGGCATGGACAAATGAGGACAAAGAAGTCATTCAGCAATCCTTATACAATCCTTGGGAATACAACAAGGAAGACAGGTAAATACTTAATACCAAATATAAGTACGTAAGTATTCCTCACACAGAACAGCATTTGATATTAAGGAATGCAACAACAGAAAGGGAGGTATGTTTTGTCATTCATCCTACTATCTCTGGCTCAAGTGTATTTTTAGGTAGAATCATAAGTATCCTAAAAACAAAACTCGACTCTTGCTCATCTCCTATTAGCCAATTTAGGAATTATTTTTCCTACTTATTTTGCATCACGCAACTATCAATAATGTTAATAGTGACAGTGTAGCCTACCCTTTAGGTTTGTTGGGGTTCTGCAAACTAACAGGTCTTTTAGAGTAAGATAGAAACAAAACTGGAGGTGAGTAGTTTTCTATTTTAGTACCTATAAATATTTCTACATTGGCTCACATCCTGGCCCCCAAATAAGAATTCTTCCCTCTCCAGAAAAATAGCTTTAAATATCCGTTTCACAAAGAATTAACTTCTTTTTATTGTAAACTTTCCAAGCATTTTCAAAACATGTTATCATTTCATTCTTGATAAAGTTATTTTCTATCTTTTGTGCAGTTTCTGTCTCCAGACCAAGATTCGGATCATTTAAATACAGCCTGAAATGTAACTGCTTTTAGTTCTTATTATATTTTATCATTACAATTCCTACTCTTTTGATATATGACTTTTTTTTATTTTGAAAGATGTTTTAAATTATTAGCAATCCTTTCTTTTGCTATCAAAAAAGCCCAATTTCAATATAACTTTATTCTGATTTCTCCAAATATCATTTTCAGGTCATAACCCAATCAATGTTTGGTTAACAAGGAGACACTAATCAAATTAAATTGTTACATACTGGCACTTCCTCACTTATACTCAGGAAACTACTTACACAGAATGGTAATTCACTTTAAAGAAATTCAAGCTGATTTATATTTGCAGGATTGCTACATGCTTTATATTTTTTATTCCTTTATAAATGCTTGACTCATCTGATCAAGTATTTAAAGTAATGAACTCCACTAAAGTTTTTTAAAAATCTGAATGGTGCTATAGAACAGTATATTTTTTTCCTTAAGTGACAATTTTTTATTTTGTGTTATTCTGTGCTTCTTAAAACAGTGAAGTCACTGTGCATAACTGTGCTTTATACTTCCGGGTCAGGTATTCTTGGCCGTGCTAACTGTATTCCTCAGTCTTTATGATCATCAAATGCTTCCTCGTATTTCCAAAGCCCACAGCAAAGGGGGTTGGATAAGGGGACAGGACTTGGCTTAAACCAATGAGACCATTACCTGATTGTGACAATAACGAAAACTTCACCCAACAGATTTTGCTTTTAGAATTGCATTTCCAATAATATTTGGCATACTATATTATAAAACTACGTCTGAAAATTTCCTCTCCCTATTTTATTCCTTTCTGTTTTAATGGTGACTACTCCATGCAGAGGTCCTTATAATCTACACAGGAATAACTTTCTTGTTTTATTCACTCAAGTTTTCTTTCGTCACATTTGCAATATTTATCTTTCCAAGTATCTTCTTTTCTTCATGTCACTCACTCCATGGATAAATGAAGATAAAGTTTAAATCTTCCTGGCTTCTAAGAGTCTGGATGTGCCTACAGTTGCTTCAATCTACCACCACATTCTGTCTTTATACCCTCCACTCTATCCAACTTGTTTTTAATTTCAAAATTAACATTTCACTTCTGTACTTTACTAACACTTCATCATATGAACAACCTTCTGCTTTACCTAATTAAATGCTATTAGTCTCAGATGCTACTCAGGTCTTACATTCTCCCATGATGCCTTGCCCACCACGGACTCATCCCTGCACACAGGTGAGACTGAATTTAAAACAGAGTTAAAAGGAGGCAATGAAAGGCGCAATGCTTAGAAAAATATTTAGTAAGTCAAACATTTTTAAAAACTAAATACTATACATGAAAATGAATTCATTAAAAAGAGTTTTACCTGTTTCACTATTTTCAGGCAGCGATTCATATTCAGAGTGGTCCAGAGCTAGGGTGTGCATGTCTGTCTGATCTGACTCCTGTACATCTGGGAATGCTGCATTCTCTTGACTTTTGTCACCATCGCCATTGGCATCTAATCCTGTAATTGGAATTTTTTGCCCAAAAGGCAATGTTAAAATAACTTACCCTTAAAATAAAACGTTTACACTTGTATTTGTTGAAATTCTTTAACTGGATTATAAAAGAGTACTCCAAACCAGAATATAGTTGGAAATCATCAATTTCTTAAATATGGATCAAAATGGTAACAAAGACAAAGACTTGAGGGCAGGGCCTTTCCTGGTCATGGCCAGACCCACAACTCACCCTGTGGGCTGCAGTCTGCTTGAGAGCCGGGGTCCTCTTCCCACGTAGCACTCACACCAACAGCTGCATTACTTGCTTCTAAACGTAACATATGAGTCTCCCATACTTTTGCATTAGGGTTAAGCTCTGAAACCTTAGTAGTTGGTACCTAGGGAAGAAATGATATATGACTTACATCCAGATTTCAAGTAAGTGTGCAATTTTAATTATAAACAAAGTTAAAAACTTTTTTTTTTTAAACCATCTTGCACTATTGGGGATTGAATCTAAGGGAACTTTACCACTGAGCAACATGCCCAACCTTCTTGATTTTGAGAAAGGATCTAAGTTGCCCAGGTTGGACTCAAACTTGTGATTCTCCAGCCTTAGTCTTCCAACTCTTGGGATTATAGGTTATATGCCACCCTACAGGCTAAAAACACATTTATATTAAAAATAAGTTAAAAGCATTAAGGCCATTTACACATATCCTTGGGATGAAATTGGGTTCAAAAAGTAACCAAAAGTAGATGTGGTCAAAATTCCTTCTAATGCACTATTAGATTTTTAAATTTCTCCTAAGCACAGGCTCTAAAAGCTGCAAATAGAAGACCTGTTCGGTTCCTTCATAGAGTTCATCATCGCATGGACTGTATAGCCATAAATAATTGGTTATTTCCCAACTACCTACTATAAATCACAATTCAGGTTTATAAATTTGAATATAATGTAGATGAATAAAATGTTAAAAGATAAAGCTTCAAATATACAGTCAAAAATGTTGAAGATGAAAGTTCCTCCTAAGAACAAAGGTTTGCACAAAAAAGCATCTCCTAAGATCATAAAACATCTCCCATTTTCAATATTTATTCCCATTCCGAAGAGCATCTCAGGAGTTTTTTCAGCATACAACTTCCCTGTTCTTCCACAGTGGAATCTGCAGGTGATCATGATGCTGCCAACCTAGGGCTCTGGAGTATGCACTCACTAAGGAGAATAAGGGGCTGGGGATGGAAGCTAGGGACTTGAGTCCAACTCTGCCACAGATAGCTGTACAAGCTTAAACCAAGTTACTTAGCCTTTAAAAACCTCATTAGAAAGTGAGTTTCACAGCTCTCACTTTATGTGGCTGTCAAAATGGGCTATCTACAACACAGCATTGCACCTGGCATACATCAGGCACACATTAGTCATTCTAACAAAAGATGCTCAGTAAGTTAAGACCATGGCAGTTCTCTGCTCAAACATAGGGGTAGGGGCTGGGAAGATGGCTCAGTAGAATAAGCGCTTCCCTGGCAAGCGCAAGGGTCTGAGTTCAATCCCCGGTTCCGCCAAAAAAAAAAAAAAAACATAGGGGTAGATGGCTCAGTAGAATAAGTGCTTGCCTGGGCAAGGGCCTGAGTTCAATCCCTGGTTCTGTAAAACAACAACAACAGAAAAACACATACAGAAGTCCTCCACCCAATAGCTGCCTAACTCTTCAAAGTAAAACATGAAGTTCTTACTCTGGCCAGAACCACCTCATGTAGTCAGCGCCTCTTTAGTCTCACTCATTTCCACTCACTCTGACTGTGCTGCTGTCTCTAAATACACAAGCACATTGGTTCCTCCCATTATGTTCATCCTGAAGACCTTCTCAGATACTCGCATGGCTCATTCTGTCATTTTCTGGTGCACCTTAAAATCCAAACAAGCCCCCTATTACGTGGATACTTCCCATTTCCATTAGTTTTCTGATAAAAGCTTAGCTTTCTTCTACTTACAAACCTTGAGTAAATCTTCAAGATTTAAAGCAAAATGTCCCAGTGGCAGCTGCCCCCCAAAATTCTAACTCGTAACTTTGCTACCACAATCTCTCAACAAACCAAAACAAATTGTCTGCCTTTTCAAATGAACTGCCAAACTTCACATCATGATGACAGAGTTAGAAATAACTAAGGAATAGGAGTCCTGGTCTCAGTGCTCCCTCAGACTGAACCACTATGGTACCAATTCCATAATACATGAAGAAGTCCAAAAGACCATAAAAAGCTACCAATGAAACATGTATACTAGCAGTTTTCAAGAGACAGAGTAAATCCACACTGCCTGAGGTAATGAGGTTGGGAGTAAAAATCAAACTATTTCTGAAGCACAGTGTAAGAACTGCGGATAAAGTGACAGTGCAAATATATCTATATATCTATATCTGTAGTCATGCTTCAGAAGCAACTTATTTACTGCTCTTCTAGTCACTGAGCAATAATTAAAACACCACACCCGCAAAGCCAAATGCTTAAATGAATACTTATTTGGAATTCTTTTTACTTTAAGTACTGGGGATAGAGAAAAGAACAGGGTTCTCCTCCTTTAGGAATACTATAATCAAGAAGCACGGATTCTTCAATTTCCCTGCTTACACTAGTTTAAACATTCAGTCCATCTTTGGCTTCTGAACGGGATTAGTTTCTCACTTGTCTCTCATTCACCCTACCTAACAAGTTTGTCCTACATGCTCACTAGTATGTCTGTGCCAAACACTGTTTAATAATCTTGATGTACCAGTGAATAAAATGGACACATTCTCAGAGAAAGTGAAAGACATAAAAGACACTCCCTATTATATACATCTCACTCATCAACATATCTATCTTCTTTACTTGTTTGGTTTTTAATTATTTTCCTACCTTTCTCTCTAGCCTATTTACATAAATCACACCTTTTCTGATTAGGTTCTCTTCTCTTTTCAGTAGATAGCACGCAGTCAAGTCTTTCCATCTCAGTTTAATCCCACCTCAATTTAATTCCTTTAATTCAACCTATGTAACAGACTTATCTCCTGTGTATCTTATATACTTTCAATTCCTAACACTAACACTCATGTTTTGCATTTTAAGCACCTTTTGCAGTTGACTACTGTATACCACAGATATATGTTGAGGTAAAGGAGAAAAGATAGGAAACAACAGGGAAAAACATTCAAGGATATATACAGGATAGCTGAGGTGACTGTACTAAGAATTTCCATCAGTTTTTTGAAAATAGCAGTCAATGTTTACAATTTTCACCTTTGGCGCTGGGGAGATAGCTCAGCAGAATAATTGCTTGCCTGGCAAGCACAAGGGCCTGAGTTCAATCCCCAGTTCCACCCAAAAAACAAACAAACGATTTTCACCTTGACTAACTGTATGCTGATATCTGTGATCTAAGCAATTACATCAAGGACAGCAATGTGTAATACAAAAACCATGCTTGAATACCTGTCATCTTGGTCTTCTAAATGTTTCTAATGTCTTTTCAATTATTACTATACTCTTTAAAATAATTTTTTTGAAAAGGTAAAAAAGAAAAAGAACAAAAATTTGTCTCTTGAAAGCAAGCAGTAATATTCACTCATATGTCAAATCTTTCGTAACTATATCTGTTAATCTAGAAACAGATTTGATGATAAAAAGATAATATATCAACCATTATTAATCAGCTATTCTTGTTTTGAAAATCTAACATATGTATTATTGTATGTTACCCTGTTTCTGTCTTTGTTTCTGATTTTTGTTCTTGCTTTTACTCTTCAAAATAAAATTATATATATATGTTTTGCAGTTTATTAATATATTTCACTCATCATCTTGGCTGTGAAGGAGCTATAATCAGCAATTTGAGAACTATTATGGCATAACATGCCTGGCCTCTCACAGATAGTGGATCTGTTATTCATCCACTCTTGGGTGGTAGCCACCACAGACTTTTTTTCTCACTACTGTGTCACTAACATTGGCAGAATCCAGAGTTTAACACAAAGGTGCTCAGGATATATGGTCAATGAGTCAATATTAATGAATATTTGGGCCCGGGAAGATGGCTCAGTAGAATAAGCACTTCCCTGGCAAGGGCACGGATCTGAGTTCAATCCCTGGCTCTGCCTAAAATAATAAAAATATTAATATAGAAAATTCTACTTTCTAATATATGATGACTTGTATAAATTTATATGCCACAAATAAATGGGGACCTGTAATGAAATTATTAGCTTTGATGGGGTAAACAAATCCAAATCAAGAATCAGAAACTTAGCACAATGTCAGCAAGTTAACCAATATTCAATAAAAGTTCTGCAAAAGAGATGTAGAAGGGATAAAACATTGAGACCTTTTTGTTTTTGATTTCTTTTTCTTTCTTTCTTTTTTTTTTTTTTTTCCGGAACCGGGGATTGAACTCAGGCCCTTTTGCTTGCTGGGGAAGCGCTTATTCCACTGAGCCATCTCCCCAGCCCCTGATTTCTTTTTCTGAGACAAGACCCCATTTTGTAGTTCAATCTGGCCTTAAGCTATGCAGCCCATAGCTATGGCAATCCACCTGCCTCAGCTTCTTGAGTACTGGCAATATAGACACATGTTACCATTCCTGGCCCAAAGCACTGAAGCTTTTAATTAAGACTTAATGACATGGCAACTCACATTCAAGAGTTTATTCTACACATGTACCTCTGCTGCATCAGAAAAATGCTAGGAAGTAGGTATCACAGCCTCCATGTCACAAATAAGAAATTCAAGTCCGAGAAAGTTTAAAAGTTCACCCATAAAAATGATAATAATTAGAAATCTGTGTTCTACTATCAGCAGAAACAACACTTTCATCAGAATGCATTAATTTCTCATAATTTACATGAGGTTTTACTATATGAAAATCTAAATTGACTTTTTTTTTCTTTTAAAACCAAAGCATTCATTTTTGAGTGATTGCTTCAATTCTCAAGATGATCTAGATGCTATAACTGCTGCTCTCTTGGGTGGAGGTGTCATTCCTTCATGGAGTCCAAACCTGAATCTGCAATATAAAACTTTTAGGTTCTCATTCAACCAGTTCCGGTGGTATTTCACCATTTAGCCTCTGCACTCCAGTTATACTTTCTCTTGTGCTTGGTGGGATAGCCACATTTGCCACAAGTCGACTTCTTAAGGTGACAGGCCTTCAAGCCATAGTAGTCGCACAAGGTATATTTCTTAATATGACACATTCCAAAGGCTGACATTCCCTTCGTCATCTCGCTCATGCTGCCGAGACCAGAAGAGAAGGCACTTCTGCTATACGACACTCCTAGACTGCCATTTCTTTCAATCAGATTTTGTTCTCAAAAGGAGAAGATCAAGCCATGGAGACAGTAAAGAGGGAAGGAAGAGATAAAGGGTG